GTTTCTCCACCGTTGGATGGCTAATAAGTTAATTAAGCTTCCTGTTAATTAACTTTAATAATTAGCTTCGATATGGTCCTACCAAATGGTTATTGCCTTGGCTACGGACTGTTAACTCAGCCTGTCAATCACAATGTGGGCCCACATTGCCAAGGGGCAACCTGACCCCGTTGGGCAAGAAATAATAAGACTTTGCCAGATGCTTTTGTCTTTGGGAGAGCAGAGTTCCAGAAATGGAAGAACACTTTGTATCCAACCTCAATGTCCAAACTTCTGGCCTCCTTAAGGTATCTCTATTTTAATGAGGCATTGGCAGAGTGAGTCATCTTGTCTTAATTTAAATCCAATTCCAAAAGACAGATCTGGTTTCTTAAAAAATGTCGACAGATTTCAGAGGTTTTTTTTTCTTTTAAAGAAGGCTTTCCTGTTTTAGAAAGACTGACTCACACAGAAGCCATCAATGGTAAATCATTGTCTATGCTAGGATTGCCTTTCAAGTAGAATATTTTCTGACCCCACGTTCACTTGCCTTGTCCATGTCTGGAGACTATAACTGCCCTGCAAGAGCACAGGCAGAACAAGCCAATGAATAATGAACGTGGGCTTGAAAGCAGCACGGAGCTCTCTGGCCACAACGCCCTGCTAATAACTTTTAGCACCGCTTGATGTCAGGCGGTACGTGGAGTGGAGATGATACTTGTCAGCTAATTTGGCTTTAATACTCGGAACATTCTGACTGCTCTGAGGTTTTTCTGTAGCCAAATTGTCTTGCCTGTTAAATTTGTAATGTATTTAGGGAACTTCATTTTACATGTTTAGAAAAATGGCCTTGGAGACACGTGGTGCTTTGTCGGGAGGCCTGTGGGCCTCCGAGAACCGGCAGATGACACTGACACAGGGTGTCAGCGTTGGTGCGGGAGTCAGACGCCACTCCCCGGCTCCCTCGGAGATCTTGGGGAGGTTCTGTTCAGGGTTTCAGAAGAAAAAAAAGAATAAAAAATGCTGATATTTTTAGTTCCCACTCACTCTTTGACTATGAATAGGAATATGATTGAAATTTCCACCAGAATCTTCAAAGCTGACTTACCTTTAAAGCAAATGCCAAGGGTTTGAAAACTCATTCTAGGTGGAATAACGTTGGCATGGACACAGAAGGCTTTAAAAAAGAACCAAAGAAAACAAACCCCAGGGCTTTCAGCAGAGATGGGTTAAGGTCTCTCTCCCCCAACCCGCCCCTCTCCCATCCCCACACCTGCAGGGCAAAGGACAGCGGTGCCTTCCAGCCGTAAGGGCCTGCGCTGTGCGATCCTGAGGAGAACCAGCCTAAGTGTGGCTGGCACAAATGGCCTGGGGCCACGTCCAGCTCTAGGGTCATCAAAGCACTTACTCAAGGAATGACCTACAGGACATGCTGGGCTTGATTCAAGTATTTTCTTGTTACCTTACAGCAACAGGGACTCGGGGAAGCAGGGATAGGGAAAAGGGAAGGAGGAGAGGGGAAAAGGGATGGGAGAAACTCAGAAAATAAAAACAGGACCCAGGAGCAACATATGCTAATGGAGACCTGACTAGGGAAAGAGGCTGCTTAAAGCCCTTTGGCTTTTAGATGTCTGTTGTCATTTCTGGAACAGCTGAGTGCCAATTGCGAGAAGCCTTGTAAACTTTCATGACCTCAGTCCCTTCCGAGGAAGGCACCCAGGAGCTCATTTCAGTTGCCTGCGAAGCCTGCTAGAAACCTCTGGCCAATGTCATTTTCAAAATATATATATATATATTTCCTGGCAATAAATAATGGCACCAACACTGGACACATTAATTTTCTTTTTCAGATCACCGACAGGAGAAATCACCATATTGCATGTATTAATTTAAGAATCTGGAACATGTGAAAAGGTTCCAAAAATCATCTAGAGCCCATTATATAGTTTGCCATATGGTCTAGGGTTTTACACGCTGTTAGTATCCTCAGTTCCCTTGCTCTCTTGTCCTTCCAGACCTATCCCACAAAATCCCAAACTTAGATCAGATCTGCTGTCAACATGACTTGTTCCTATATCCAGTCTGCAGGAAACGTCACCATCACGCGGCTGGGGGCCACTGGAAATCACAGCCTCTCCCTTCAGCTGAGCCTTCATTGGGGCTTTTCATTCCCTTTCCTAAGCCTTGGTCCTCAGCTGCTCCCAGTCTCCTCCATGACCCCTGCAACCGCCACCAGGCTTCTCAGGTCCCGCACTCCTCCTCGGTTCCCAGTTTCACCCTCAGCCAGTCAGAGCAGAAGCCAGGGAGATATCCCTTGTCTCCCTCAACCTGGAGTCTGCATGATCCACCAATGCTGTCTCCTAAACAGCCCTCCTACCGGCTCCCTTTACGCCATCTGTATAACCTTTGTCTGAATTCAGGTCCTTACCACCTTTTGCTAGGTGACTGCAATGGCCTCCAAATTGTTAACCCTTCCCCCTGACTCATCACTGCACCGGTGACCTCTTGAACCTTGCCTCTCATCCTTTGGTCCTGCTTTTACATGAGCCATTGCTGTAAAATGCAGCATCCAACAGCACCTCCCCTCAGCTGTCCTAAGGCTTCTCTCACCCAGGGTGTTTGGTGCCTGCTGGGAAGCCCTTCACTCAGGCACATCCACTGAACTGGGAAAAGTCAGGGATTTATTGCACCCTGACCAGTGAGGGGTGGAAGCCATGAATGCATGCTCCCCTTACACACTGGTGACCACCTCAAGCACACATCACTCCTTTATTGGTCTCCCTTCCTTTCCTGTGTCTCCCTCCCCACACCCTTTCCCTATCCCTGCGATTCCTCCCCAAAATAAAGTATCCACACCAGCCGCCAGCACTTGTGTCAGCCTTAGCATCACGTACAAATGCGATATGCATGCCTAAGTTCCTTCCCTCTAGGGCTCATGTTCTGTAAGTAGAAACAGACTCACTGTCAGATAAATGTAAAACCCCATGGTCCGGGCAGGCATTTAATATGCACAGGGCTCCTACACAAGGCCTGGGGAGGGCACTGAACTCAGCCTCAGTGGGTCTGGGAAGTGTCCTCTGCTGAGTCAGAAGCTGGACGTGGTGGTGGTGGTGGAAGTGTGAACCAAAGGGTGGGGAGGATGTGCAGTTAAATGTTATTGAATGAATACATTTAATGTCTTTAGGCATCTGAATTTCTTAATAAAGAAAAAAAGCTCCAAGCTGCATGCTTTATTCCATAATATACTCTCTGACTTGCCCATATTTTAGGCTAGTTAATTCCCACATGACAAGAATGTTACACACCTCACAGAGCTGGTTACTTAGTTCGTGTGTATTGGAGTATTTTATGGCAATTTTGCAAGAGTGAAGATGACTTTAAGGAGAATAAAAACCTGGCTATCTTGTGAATCACCTTAGCATCAGGGTGTTCGCTATCAAAGGAAAGCAAAGTGGTGGCCTATTAAGATGAATAAGAAAGCTTCCCCATTTTCTTGAGGCCTCTCTCACTATGAGGGGTCAGTTTCTAGATGAATGAGATGCTAAGTATCACTGCCATATGGGTTCAGAATGGCAGCAGGGAGATATCAGGCACCCAGCATCTGGCCAACTGGAGTTACAGGATTTCCCCTGGCAACATGGCTGTACAACAATCCGAGCTGGGACTAAAGACTCCGGCTCCCCTCACCAGCATCTGTAATCCCCTCCAGAGATGAACTCAGTTCTTACTGGTAACCTTGTTCTAAGTCTCCTCTCATTTTTCTCTCTTGAGGTCTAACTAGAAGGTTTGACAAAAGATGAGCGTAATTTATGGATACATTAGACCTTGCCACCTTAGTTTTAGTCTTCCATTCTGTGTCAAGTGGGGCTGACCTTTAAGATTGGCCAAGAATGTAGTTTCCTTTCTTTCCTTTCAAAATTTTTGTCTTGTCTCTTATTCTCACTCCATTTGGAGTCATGCTCTCTCTCACACACACATATGACTGTGTGCTATGGTTTAAATGTTTATGTCCCCCCAAAATTTGTATGTTAAAACCTAACCCCCAAAGTTATGACATGAAAAGAAGGGGCCTTCGGGAGGTGATTAGGTCATGAAGGCTGTGCCCTCATGAATGGGATTAGTGCCCTTATAAAAGAGGCCTGACAGAGCTTGTTCATCCCTTCTGCCATGTGACGTCATAGCCAGAAGGCACCACCTCTGAGGAATGGGTCCTCACCAGACAGGGAATCTGCTGGTGTCTTGATCTTGGACTTCCCAGCCTCCAGAACTCTGAGCAGTAATTCTTTGTTGTTTATAAATTACTTAGTTTTAAGTATTTTGTTACTGAACAGACTAAGACACAATATTTAGACTGTCATAGATCCATGCAGTTTCAGGGTGCTGGCTGGCAGAATATTATTTGGGAAAAAACATTTTCTTTTTCATGATTTTTTTTTTTTTTACATGGAATGTCACTCTGTCACCCAGGCTGAAGCGCATGTTGTGGCACCATCTTGGCTCACTGTGGCCTCTGCCTCCTGGGTTCAAGTGATCCTCCTGCCTCAGCCTCTCAAGTCGTTGGGATTACAGGTGCCCACCACCACACCCAGGTAGTTGTTTTGCATTTTCAGTAGAAATGGGGTGTCACCATGTTGGCCAGGCTGGTCTCGAACTCCTGACCTCAAGTGACCCACACACCTCAGTCACCCAAAGTGCTGGAATTACAGGTGTGAGCCACCATGCCCAACCTTCATGTTTTTTTCTATCCCAGTTTGCAGCTAGGTAAAGGCAATGTTGAATACCAAGCTGTGCCCTGGTTATACCTACTTAAAAAAAAAAGAAAATAGTTTTATAATCTGAGTGGTGGTTATAAAATAGGTCCACAAATTCTTTGATACTCCTTCCTTCAAAAGGTGGAGGCTAATTACCCTCCCTTTGGGTGTGGTCTGTGTTTAGTGACTCACAACTTATGGATAGAATGTGGTGGAAATGATGATGTGTTACACCTTAGGCTAGGTCATAAAAGGCACTGTGGCCTTCTTCTTGCTCTCTCCCTTGGATCACTTGCTTGGGGGAAACAAGTTGCCATGTTGTGAGATGCTCAAGCAGCTGTATGGAGGAGCCCACGTGGGAAAAAACCGAGCCCCACCCCCCAACCAATATTCGCTTGCCAGGAGTGTGGCAAGCCTCCCTGGAAGCAGACTCCCCAGCACCAGTCAAGCTTTCAGAGGCTGCAGCCATGGGCAATGGCTTTGCTGCAATCTTATGAGAGACTAAGCCAGAACCACCCAGCTAAGTGGCTCCCACATTCATGACTCACAAAAACTGTGTGAGATAATCAATGTTTATTGTTTTAAGTTGCTAAGCTTTGGGGTAATTTGTTATACAGCAATAGATAATATACTCTGCACTTAAATTATTTCCCGTGAGAACTAGAGGTGAAAGGTAAGGTATCTCTGTCATGTCAGAGCGGCTAAGTCTTTTAAAGCAATGACCAAGGACACGAGTTCTTAGTTTGAGGAGCTTGGCCCTGGGGCAGATAATAGAACTTGTTTGATTTTTGTTTACACTCCCTTCTCAGAGAATGTGCAGCAACCTACAACGAAAATATGTTCATGGAAGACATGGTAAACAGGAAAGAGAAAACCAGGACCAGATAAAAGAATGGTAGTTGTTAAGCGTAAGGGTCAACATAGTTGCAACAGTTGAACTTTAATCATGACTCCGAGCTTCCTAGTAGCCATGGTAAAAGGGAAAACTTATCAAGTTCTATAGCTCTTATTACTGGAAAGGAAGCAAAGCTTTTCCCAGCTTTAGATGTTTAAAAAAATTCTCTTGTGGACTTTAATATAGATGCTGATCTAGGTAAAAGACAAGGCTCTCATACTTTTAGAGATATTGGGTTAACAAAATTCATTTAGCTGTTACTTGTGTTCTTTAGTCGAAGAGGTGGGAGAATGACAGTGCTAAGCACTGTGATAGATTATAGAAAATAGAAGGAATTCCTCTGACCTAAGTGCTACCATGCCATTTGAAAGTGGCAAGTAAATGTATGTTAAAATATTTTTGATCTGAGCTTCTCTTTCTCTTTTACTGTTGGTATATATATAGCACAAAAGCACTTCTTGGGCAGCAATTTAAAATAGCCCAGTTTATCTCTCTGCTTGTATTCCAGGTCTTGGTTTTGAGCTATAAATTCTTGCTGCTATCTTGGACTTTTCCTGATATCTGAATCCTTCAGCACATCCCATCACATTCCACCAATTCTTGACCTTCTGTTATCCTCACCAGCCCCCCTGGGCTTTGTTCAAAGTCCTGCAGGGAGGCTGCAGAGGCGATGGAATGCACAGGCTGTGGTAGCTCAGCTGCGGGGACTGTCCAGGGGCCTAACTGGTTGTGTGAGGCTTTCAGAGAACGCTGCTCCCATGCTGGGCTTCAGAGAGAGGGCTTGCTGCAGCACAGTGGGGTGGCCTCCTGCTGGTGGCCCAGGCCACAGGGATATGGAAACATGTGTCTACTCTAGAGCTGCTGGGCCTGGGTGACCTTGAGGCAAGGGAGGCACCTGGGGGCTAAAATACGAGGCACTCACTCTCCTCTCGGTCCTATTGAGCTGTTTCTTATTATGGCTGAAAATATGAACTGAAGATGCCTGGCACATGGCCGGGAATGTAGTACATTTCAATTAATGTTAGCTTCCTTCTTCCCTTTGACTTTCCTTCTACTCTATCTTTTCTTCTTCTCCTCATCTTGCTTCCTTCCTCCTTTCCTTCCCTTTCCCCTCCATTCTGCAAGCATCTGAGAGGCAGGGCTGGTATCCGTTGGGTTGTTTCTTTTGGGTCTTGGCCCTGCTGTCTCCCCTGCTGGATACTCCCCATGTCCTCTCTGCGTAATGAACTACAGCCCATCCTCCCCATCTCCACAGGCTCACGCCTTTGCTGACCCCCACTTACTTGGTCAACTTCCCCTATTTTCTGCTTTCGTCGCATGGTGTCTTTCTCTTTTTAAATTCTTACCACATTGGTTATTTTATATTACTTGATTGATTACTAGATTGAAATACATTTTACATTTATTTGTACAATTACTTCCCTGAGACTGTAACACGTTTCTGGTCACTTTTACAGTCCCAGTACTCAGGACTGCGCCTGAGACATTGCAGGCACGGAATAATTATTGGTTCCACGAACCAATGAATGGATGAATGAAAAAGTCTAGTTCCATGATTTGTATCAGGCGTAAGCCAGTGAATAACAGTTTCCGTGTGATGAGGATGAATGTTTCTACCTAGTGGGCACATGTAGCAGTGAGGAAACCATGGGCATATCAGACTGCTGGATGCCAGATGCCTCGGACCCAGAGATACCACCTCCACACAGTAATACAGGAGAGATGGCAGGGCCAGACTGAGTGACCTCATAAATAAAGCAGTGCCTTCCAGGTCTTTCTAAAACACTAGGTACCTGCATTAATTCGCTAGGGCTGCCATAATGGAATACCACAGATTGGGTAAAGTCACCGTGTTGGTTTAAGCAGCAACAGAACTTTATCTTCTCCAGTCCTGGAGGCTGAAAGTCCAAGATCAAAGTGTCAGCAGGGTGGTTTCTCCTGAGGCCTCTCCTTAGCTTGCAGATGGCGTCTTCTCCCTGTGCCTTCACGGGGTCTCCCTCTGTATTTGTCTGTGTCTGAATTACCTCTTATGGTAAGGACACCACATAAACTATATTGGTTTAGGGTCCCACACGAACAACCTCATTTCAACTTGTACCTCTTTAAAGACCCTGTCTACCAGTACAGTTGAGGTAACAGGGCTCAGGACTTCAATAACAAATTTGTGGGGTGGCAGGGGCAAGACCCAGCCTGTAGTATTACTGCTAAAGTCAAACTGCCACTTCCTGGCTGAGTGGCTTCAGACAAGGTATTCACCTCTCTGTGCCTCCATTTCCTACCTGGAGATAATAAAGCTGTCACCTCACTGAGAGATGTGAGAGTTAAAAGCCCTAATCCCCATGAAGCACTTGGGACAGTGGCATGTGGCAGTGTTCAAGAAGTGTCAGCTATTATGTTGATTACTTAGCCCTAAGGGAGTTATTTTGGGAATTGGAGTGTAAGAATTGGTCTCTGCCTTCAAGATGCTTACAGTCCTCTGATATAGAATATAAATCTAATAAATAAAAACAACAAGAGACATTTTCCATGACAGATGGTTTTTGGGTCACCACTTTGGAAGGGAAAGCCAAGAGGCAGAAGGAACAATGACGGCAACCAAACTTGAGTCTCAGCTGTGTGTCTCCACCTCCCAGCACTGCCGGGTGCTAGCAGCATCGGGCTCTGTGGTCTTCAGCGGGGCGCTGCTTGCAAGGGGGCTCAGTCCTCAGCATTTTCTGTCCTTGTAGTCACCACCCTCCACTTTCTTGAGCCAGAGCTGCCAAGGGATGTTTACCCCTCTCCCCAAAAAGTGGTCAGAACCACTTTGCACGGCTGTCCTCCCCACTCTAGAACTCCTTTGGAGATGCCTGCGTGGAACTCTCTGATCACCACCTGCTGCTGCTGTTGCCTGGGGCCCCTCAGTGACCCTCCTTGTCCCCGCCATGTCAGCAGGACATGTCTCCCTCTATTAGGACTAATGGGACCATTTCTCTCTGCGCTGGGGCTGGCCAGGAGCTGGATCATCTCTCCCACTCCTGATCATGTGCTGTGCCTGCAGAAGTAGCTCATGGCTCCTGTACATGCTAAGTTTCTATGGATATAGAAAGAGAGGAACTCTTGAGGAGAAGGGATGTTGGGGGGAAGTGGGATGGCATCATAGCTTTACTCCAACGTCACCTTCTCATTATGTCATCCTGCCGTCCTATCTCAAATGGAAGATACCATCCTTGCACTGCCTATGCCTTTGGGATGCCATAGACTTTACTATTATGTCTGTTTTCTCAGAGTGTAAGGTCCACGAGGGCAGGGATTTTCATCAGCTTTGTTGTTTGCTCTATATCCAGCTCCTAGATGAGTGCCCAACACATAATAGCACAAACATTGATGGAATGAATGAATGAACTCTGGCCCTGTGAGCTCTTGACATCCAGGAACAGACTAAGGATCAGGGACCTTCCTGCCCATGTGCAGGCTCTCACTGATTACATCAGCCAGTCGGACATGAGTGGACCACCCAGAGCCTTTTCAATGTAGTTCCATCAGTCATGAAGTTAGTGGGGCTCGCCTGAGGGATTGGCAATAGGTGGTCCATCCCAGCTGCGAAAGCAATAGCTGCAATAGCTAATGTTTATGCTATTTATATTAGACTGTTTAGAATTACTATCAACTGATCTCAAAAAATAGTAAGTACTATTATTATTCCAAAACTGAAACATGAAATGGTTATGTAAACACCCCCAAAACTGCATAACTAGTAAGTAGCAGGTCTAGAAATTGAACTCAAATTTGTCAGACTCCCAAGTTCTTGCTTTTACCGTGAGCTCTCATCTCTTTTTGGTTTTGTGGGTATTTTAAGCTGTGTCAGGGCCTGCTCACCAGATGGCTTTTTAATCTCTCTCTTGTTGCTACATTATTAATCTCTAAATTGTTCAGTGGAGAGGACTGGTACAGAAAGGAGGCGTCTACACGGGAGAGGCTTCCTGGAATTGCTGCTGATATTTCACGTGGGCCTTGGTGGGTGGCTTAGGTTTGGGTAGAGGGAGAAGAGGCAGGCACACCGGAACTGGGGAACAACACTGGAACCCATCTATATGGCAGCTGCCCTTCTGGGGATGGAGCAGACATACCCATGCTACCAGCAACACAAAACTGTGAACTGGATTTAGTCAAATATTTAGCTGGTGGTTGCTTCCTGCTTCTGTCTGCTCAGAAAGGGATTAAAAACTCCTTGTAATCTTCCATTTTCTAAGAATCCATAATGCACTGAATTTTGGATACTCTTTTTGGAAAAAGGTTGATGCTTCAGGCAGAATTCTGCAAGCAGCAACGTCCCACAGCCTGGAAGCTTTCCCTGGGCATGTTCACTCCTTAGAATGCGTCATGCTAAGCCTGGGGACAGACAGCTGCCACATGTCCTTTGAATAGGCTATGTGTAGGAGGCTGTAGAGGTTGATGTGGCTTCTCTGGAAGCTGAGAGCCAGGAACCTCTCTGGTCCTTGCATCCTTGCAGGATGGAGTAGATGGTGCTTTCAGATGAATAAAGTAGAGGGAGGCTGGAAATCTGAAAAGCTCCTCTATTCTGCCAACCATAAAGCATTTTGAACTTGCTCCACCCTTTCTATTTTCCATCTGCCTCATTATTCAGCACAGTAATATTTGGGCACTTTGAAAAGAGTGATAT